TGTGTGTGTGTGCGCGCGCGCACGCGCACGAAAGGGCGCGTAAGCGCTCGAGTGTGTCTGTGTGTACATATGACTATGTGTGTGTGTGTTTGTAATGGATGAGTTACTGGCACGGTGCATTCTACATATAGAGACATTATAATAGGCCTACACAGGCTCCAAGACAAACAGACAGGCCCACAAACATCTTTAACTGTGTCTCCGTTACAATGATTATGATACAATAAATAAAAAACAAGATCAATAAAAACAAAATAAGAAATAACCCCCCCCCCCCAAAAAAAAAAACCCCAAAAAACCCACATAAACAAACCTGTAAACGTTTACTTATCCAAACTTTCTATTAACGAATGCAACAGTATCTAGAGTCTAGTATACTAACTTGTTTTTGCTCGCAAGAAGAACTACTAGATCTAGATATCTAGATAGATCTACAGTGTGATCACACAACGCATCCAACCGAAAACAGCAGCCAGACACAGCACACGATGTATGTACCCTCCTTCCCTCGTCGTGTGTTGCAGTAGACTAAGTGTGTAGTGAGAAGAAGTCAACCAACCTTTGCAACCAACCGTTCCTCGCCGGATCCTAACATTCTTCCTCAAGTGTCACACGACGTTACAGGATCTCAGTTCTCAGAGGCCCACCACAATCATGACACACGTGTCACTGTGTCACACACTCTTACTTTATGTATTAGTATTGGCTAGACGCACAGGTAACTGGATTAGGGGGGGGGGGGTTGGAGAGCTAATTCATTGTAGATCCGGGAATAATGGAAGGTGGGCAGATGGGCGTATTGTACCATTGTTGATCGGGTGCTGCCCGGTTAGTCCCGAATTCTTTTAAGTATCCGAATATTGATGACAGTCATAATTACATCACTTTAAAACTGTAGTTGTTACTTAAGTTTTTTATTCTCCACCTTCAAATTGGTAGTGTAGAGATAATCCCTCTTAAATGTCAATTCAGTTTGCGTTGTTCAATATTTGTTCCTTTTTGTAGTCAAATCAAAGCAAATTACTCTGTAAAAATCCAAAAATGAATGTTCTTTCGTTAAAAACAATTGAAAATAAAATTAAATTCATACAATCAATCAATCATTCATTAACTATTTTTGAGAGAGTCAGTGATAACGTCCATCATACAAGGTACAGTCGAGGCCTGGACTTATGACAAACTGGCATGCTTCAGCACCCATCAGTGATACCTTCCATCATGCATCGTTGACCTATTATTGGGGACGCGACTTTTCAAAACAAGTTTTGAAGAATTCTCTCACGAAACAACTATAGATATTCAAGAAAATTTGTGTTTTATTATTCATTGTAGTCAAGTTGATACATCCTTCAAACAACTGAAGCTGAAAAAAGAAAAAAAAGAAAGAAGAAATACCCCCCCGTCGCCGTCATTCATCATTGTCGCATGTCAAAATATCGTACGAGCTTTTCATGAGACGCAAACAACAGTTTTATTTCACTCACGGCACTCTCTACGTACTTAATGTTTAATTTGTCTAAATGCAATAGGCTACTATCTTGAAAAAAAAAGGAATGCGGCTAGCTAGATCCATTCGATGCGCTTCATCAAACTCTATATACAACAAACTTGATTTTCATTATTTCGAAATTTGGACATATTTTGCTTTTATTTCCTTGCCATTTCTTAAGTCTGCCAGAATAAAGCGACAATGTTAAAGAACGCCGCCGATGTATGCACACACGATTTTCTTTTTTTTCAAGGTTCAAGATCCAAACACTTTCGTCCTGTTTGCTTATATCTATGTAGCCTAACGATTCGTTTTTCTATTCAGTTGGACAAGTCACAAGTCATAAGTCTATCGAAGTCGAAAGGAAAAGTCAGTCCTCTCACTAAAATGAAATTGTTAGATTATTATTATTTTT